TTACGATAGGTACGTAGGAATGGTATGATCCTTCATTCCTTTCTTCGGAGCTTCGAGCTTCGTATCGTACGTAACGATTCATCGGTACGTACGTATCCGTTGCAACTACTACTACTACTACTACTCTTTGTACAAATACCAGTACTAGTATTATTGTAAGGAAAAGGATTGGTCTGTTACTTGTCGTAAGAAAATTGTTTGCTTCTTGTTACAAATTCTGCTTAAAAACAAATTTAGTCTGGAGGGTACTTGCCTGCTGGTGGAAGAACAACCAGCAGGTTGAGGTTGTACTTCTTCTTGTACTAGTAGTACTAGTACTAGTACTGCCGCTACTACTAATAGGAGAAGTACTAGTAGTATTTGTTCAGCAAGAAATTATATTCTAGTTGTAGTTTTTGACAGTGCAAGCTGCTCCACAAAACTTGTATCCATGGAGTCAAGCACATGGATACATACATCATCATGTTTAATCCAATCAACTCAACAGCTACCAGTACAAAGAGAGAGAGAGAGAGAGAGTCCTATTTTGGCAACTGTAAACTGTACCGTATACACCATATTCTTGCAGTAGTAATACTATGGATAGTATCATAACAAGTGATCGCAGCACTGCTAGTACTAGTAGTGATACTACTACTAGTAGTAGGAAGAAAGTGGTTCCCATAGTTAATTTAATGATGTCATCCTTAGAGCAGTAGAACACAATGCAAAATGTACTGAGGTAAAAAAATCTTAATATTATATTTAACCTTGTGAACTAGAAGAGGCACTTGGGTGGCCAGAACCATAGCTTTCATTAGAAAGAATGCTTCTAGCTGCTCCGAGGGGCGGCGCCTCCCTCCGAGGAGATTTTGTGGAGGCGCGACTGGGGTTTTGTTTTGGACTGGGGGATTATTGGAAATAGTTGTTCATAGTAGTTTGCAGAGTACAGTTGGTTGCAACAGAGGCCAAAGAAGTCTTTGGCGATACGGATGGTTTGTGTCGCTTCTTCTTGGAGTACGCGCCAAAGACCAGCCCGTCTTGTGTGACGCTCTCCGGTGGTTGTTTACTATGAGACAATGGCAGAAAGTACCGGGTAACAGGGCGAGTGTTGGAGACCGAAGCACCTGTACTAGCTTGAGAGACACTTGCTAGAATTGTTTTCTTGTAGACTCAATGGTAATATGAGAGCATGGAGGTAGGTGTCTGCGATAAGAAGGCTTCCATATTTTCTGGGAATACGTGGGCATGGGACGGACAGGTTTCAGATTTTAAAGCAAATAAGGTCCGAACTTTCATCACCACTCTCTGTCGATGATGCTTTGCTTGCTTCTGACGAGGAAGTGTGGAGCCATGAAGATCTTTATTTCGCCGTTCCCATAATGATATATAGGAAGTAAGAAAAAATCCACAAGATAACCCCCCAAAACAAGCATGGAGTAAGAGCCGGAATGAAGATCAAGATCAGCAGTAAACCACTGCTGGAGCGACATGTGACCGGCAAACATGTGGTGCCAACCAATCTCACTCTGGAAATGAATAACTGGATGAAGGGATACAGGAAAAAATGCACTACTGAGGTAGTTTCCTACTATTCTGTTGGGGGAGAACCAATCCTGCTTCTTTCTCAGAAGGCAAATCATGCTGAAAATTTTGGGGAGCAACACTCCTCAGTAGAGCTCTGTAGAATTTGTAATGAAAAAAATAATGATGGCATTTTAAAATTACTAACGATGGGAACCACTTTCTTAGTGCCGCGATCACTTGTTATGATATCCGTAGTAAGTACCAATTGTACGAATACGAATACGAGTACGAGTACGAGTACAGTACAGTACCTGTTTGGCTGTGAAATAAGATGTGACAGCTTTTTAACGGTAGGGATTCTACAGGACTCTACGTGTGGAACAATAGTCTTATTTTACACCCGGAACATAAAGCTGTCACTTAGTTCCACCTGGAACCAAAAAGGAACTATTTTATATCGAATTATTTCCTAGGTACAGGTACCTTCCGAGCTTTTTTTTTGCTCACTTTTTGAGAATTCAAATCTGTGAAACGAAATTGACCTCCGGAGACTAGTTATTAACATGGAATAGAATCAAAATCGGAATCGATTCCAAGAACAGATTTCTCTTAACATAAAATAAATAAATCGCTTACTACTGGAGCGCTCTCTAAGGCGCTAGTAACTACTGGGCTTCACTCTTATATTTCCAAGCTCGGAACTTTCGAAGCTTGGAACGACCTTTTTTCCTCTCAGAATTCACGTCGGCGAAACGAAATCGACATCACACTGCTTATTTGCATGCAATAAAATCGAAATCGAAATTGATTCCAAGAACAGATTTCTCTTGACATAAATCTTACACTTCAGCAACTTCACCAACTACACCAGGATCAGTATCAACTAGGCCTTTCACTCCCTCCAGTATCTCAACTGACATATTAGAGGCAACTCTCTCTTCTTCAGTCAAACTGGCAAGGAAAGTTAGTGCTTGGTTCTTCAATCTCTCCCTCTCTCTTCCATAGTAGGCAGTTTCTCTGATTGTTATCTCATCATCTTTCAGTCTCTGCAATAGAGCCTCATCAGAATCAGTCCAAGAAGCTGATGGAGGGGTGCTTCCTGATTTCACTGATCCAACTGCAACTGTGTCCTTTACTGCTGGCGTCGACCTTGTTGATGTTGTTGATGCTGCTTTTTCCCCTCCCTCCTCATGGTGTTCTTTGTTGCAAATTGCCAACCCCACTGCCATTGCTCCTGATTCAGCACGCTTTTCCACACATCCCTTGATAAGCGACCGAATCAATAGTGTGGCTGTGGCTGGTGATGGGAGTACAGCTGGTGTTCTGGGGGGCGCTGGCTTGGTTTTATTGCTCATATTGCTCATTTTAGACGAGCCAAAATACACTCAAAATACAGCAAAAACTGCTTTTTCTTTCAAAATACTTGGCCGATTGCAACGATACTTCCGGATCAAGTCTAATTTGATGTATGAAGGAGGTTCCGGACACTGGTTGTCTTTGTTATTGGGTGGAAGACAGTTTCTTTTTTGTTTCACTATAGAGTTCGTCGTTGCTGTTTTTGATGATATTTTTGCTGTACGTTAGGACTCCTGTTTCTTGTAAACCACTCGGACGATTGATCTGCTACTTCACGGTCCTCTTCCCCTTGTTGTAAGGATTGTAACACTTGTCTTGTGAGCGTGATTGGTTGGGTATTGATAAAGATCTGGAGGAGTGACAGCTTTGCTTCTTGGAGGTTGTTTTAATGAGTTTTTTGGAAAATTCCGTGCGCTCAGAAATCAACAAGCCCAAAAAGGTTCTCTGACAGGAAACATATACAATATGGACATGTATCAAAAGAGGAGGGAAAACCCTTTCCAACTGATTGATTCTCTAATTCTGATTGGTCCTTGTGCTTGAGTTAACAAGCAAGCAAAGTTAGCCAAAAACTGGCGCGTTTTATATACTCATAACCTGTTAGAAATCGATAGTCTTATTTCGCACCCAAACAGGTACTTCCTCTGCTCCGAGACGAGGCTTAATTCCAATAACAAAATATGATAGTACTCCTAGTCAATATTACGTACGGTAGCGTAAAACAATCCAACCCATTCGGCTCGTACAAGTACGTGCAGTACCGTATCGTACGGTTCTGTAGAGCTTTTGTGCTCTAACCGACTTCACAAACAACCACCAGCACTGAAGTGTCAATCACCGATCGCACAGGCACACGGTGCATCTCTTGCTGTTCTTGCTTGTAGTCCGGTACGGCGCAATAGCAACAGCGATAGAAAGAAACTGATCAAGAGTTGCTTGTGGAGAGAGCGAATTTGGTGAGGTTTCCGGACTATACCGAATTGAATCGAACCGAATCGAATCGAACCGAACCGAACTACATTGCTCTACAGTGAAGCGACGTCTGTTTGGTGGCTCTTGTAACTGCAGTAGCAGATCTCTTGCAACCATCCATGGCAGCATCGAAAACAATGGCCGAGATCGTGGCCTCGTCGAAAATAGCGCCATCCACACCAGCTTCTGCGTCCACGAATAATAACAGTAACAATAATTACAGCAGCAAACAAAACAAAATCCCAAATCCGAATGGACACGGTGAACACACCAAGAACGGAGGATCGGCAACCGCGGTGGAAAACTATCACACCAAGAGCAATAAGAAAGAGGAGAGTGGCTCTTCTACCACGATCGTCAGGGCCTTTCCACACCTGACTATCACCGTATACATCCCCACCGTTTGTGTCGGGGTTCTTATTGGAAAGCGTGGCTACACGATCGATAAAATCCAGAGGCATGCCGTCACCGAATCCTCCAGATTTTACAGTAGCGAGGGTTTGCAGCAGTCTCAACCGCAGGGTGGGCGGCGCGACAACGGCGGAAGCAACAAACAATCGTCGAAACAGAAAAAGGTATCGCCGGATTCTGTTCGAATCAGCGTCGTCAACTATCCACCCCCTGCCCCAACCGCTCAGCAGCACCAACAGAATTACGAGAACTACGACAATCCCCACTATCTGGTAAACTCGGAAGAATACCCTGTATCTGCGGGTCCACAAAAACCGCAACCGTTACAACAACAAAAACAGCAGCAGCACCATCCATCAGCATTACCACACCCTGGGCTTTCGCAAAGTGCTCTGCATTCTTCGATTGGTGACATGGGAGTCCCTCCCACGTACACGGAACTTGATTTTAGCAACCCCCAATGGACACCGATCGTGATTCGTGCCGATCCTATCGCGGCTCTCCACGCGTCTAGGGCCATTCACGAGATTTGCTTCCCGGAATACGTTGGTGACCGAACTCACCTGGTGTACATTATGGACGTTCCCGTTCCAGCAGTAGTAGAAACCGCCAGCAACAACAGCAACACCATAAGCTCACCCAATACAAATCTGCGACACGCCTCGATCGTTGGGAAAAAGGGGAATAAGCTCCTCCAGCTGAGCGCCGACCATTCGTGTCGGATCATGGTGCCGCCCAAGCAGCTCGGGCACAACATCATCCAGCTCGAGGCTCCCCTGCAGGAGTGCTGCTCCTGTCTGAGGGCGATTTCGGCAAGGCTCCAGCCCGACAATGCGTCTGACTTTTCTTCAGGGGATGAACAGGAATGCAAGGAGCCGCTTTCACCACAAAACGGTGATGCCAACCACCACAAACCACATCCTTCCGTCGCGCTTCAAGCAAACACTAACAGCAGCAACAACAACTACAATGGGCAGGGCCAAAACCAGAGCGGTCAGACCAAAAATGCCCGGAACCGAAACAAAATTGAAAACGCCAGGAGTAACTACCAAATCTCGTTGATCGTACAGCCCCTACCATCGCAAACTAAACTACGGAACATTGCCCGAAAAACAGAAACCAAGATCCTTAGAAAGAAAATCCCCAAGTCACAGCAGAAGCAAAAGCAAAAACAGCTCGAAGAGCAGCGGCAGAAACAAGAGCAGCAGCCTCCGGAAGACTCCGAGCTATTACTGGAGGACGTAGACGGGGACGACGATGCTCAGGAGCAACAGGAAGATAATCACCCAGCCACCACAGGTGACGGCAGCGCAAACAATTCGAGCAGGGACACGGCGAATAATCCCAAATCGTCCGGCGGATCCTGGAGGTTGACCGTTGTGGCCACGACGGAGAAGAAGGCGACCAAGGCTCTTGACATGCTGAAAGTCCTCGTTTCAAAGGGCTACGAGGTTCTCGTCGAGGATATGGGGACGACGACGAATCAAAATGATGCCACGCAAAACAACAAAGGCAACAAATCACCTACCGAACAGCCTTATACCTGCACAAACCGAGACGCAGAAGTTCCCAGCGAAGTGTCAGCAAACGGAACCGAATCCCAAGAGGCGCCGTTCGAATCGGCCGTGGACGACTCAAAGGGTGGCAGCAATAATCACTACAACAACAAAAGCGGTGGTGGTCGGGGTTCGAGGGGCAAAAAGAAAAAGAAATACTTGTATAAATAGTGGGAAAAAAGCCTTTTGTCCGATCTTTTGGCAAGAGCTAGAGCTACCACGTATCAGAGGCAAATAGACATTTCATACTATCACCTAACAGTCTTGGCTTGCGGTACAGTACACTACTTTGTGACTGTGGCACAGTTGTTGTTTCTTGGCCATTCGGAATTACAAGAAGCTGACGATGCATTTTGTTTTGATAAGTGTATCGATGCGATATTTTACTTTGCGCGTTGCATCGATGATTCTTTCGTCCTACTCGATCCGATTGGGCTGGTTTCGAGACTGAATGGTTTGCTGTGGTATGCATTAAAAGGTTGAAATAATCAATAAGCACCTCGATGCCTAGAAGAACTATCTTGGAACGAATACACATTGCAATGGCGGATCAACTTTTTTTCAGCGTTCTGTTGTGCTGCTGGGCCATACTAACCAACGAGCAGGAGATGCATTCTATAAAATTAATATCGTTTGGAAAGATAACTAATGATGACATTGGATTAGCTCGCAAGTGTTAGAATCCAAGACTGTACGTTTTTCTTATTACTACGAACACCTACTACGAAAAACTTCAAAATGTCTGCAACTTGAACCCTCGCCTTTCTGAAACGAGTTTGTTTGGTCATGTAAGACTCTGACTTCCTTCTTTAGTAGTGCATCATACAGAAGAAACAAAATAGTTATTATGCATTACCACTACCACATTCTTCTTCCTCTTATTATTACTACTAGTACTAGTAGTGCTGGTGGTATCTCATTGACTGGAATAGGAAGAAGAACAAAAGAAGTGATCAGGGTAAACTGATCAAAAACAGCAGGATAGTACCAGTATTACTTTGCCTACTGGCCTTCCATGCATACTCCAAGAAGAGACAACATAAACTGGTGCCTATTTTGTAACAGTTGAACCCTAGTACAAACCACTCTGACACAATTTTTCACCTAGCAAACCAACCAGCCCACCCACCTCATTGGTTCTTGTGCCTCCATCAAACCTCCTTGGGTGGAGGTGCTGCACCTTCTTGGAGCAAATATTAGGAGTGTTCTTCTCCCCAGAAGTTCTGGTTCTGGCCATTAAAGTGCCCCTTTTACTAGCAGCACCAGTTCACAAGGTTACATATAACTTTAAGAAGATTTGCTTGTTTAAATAATGGAGAAAGCCTCACCTGACAATCAAGAAAAGAGGATAATGATAGTATTACAAGTAGTAGTAGCTGACTACTGCCTTGTGTAGAAAAATATTGTAATACTACTACTAGCAGTAGAATCAGTAGTACTAGTCCATGAAGATCTACTACTAGTACTACTAGTAGCACTACTACCACCATTCCAAAATAATCTACTAGCAGTTTGCACCTCTTTGTGTGGATTAAGCTCAACATTAGGGCAATTTGACTGCTTTTTTTGCACTGCCTTGATATAATTGACTTATATCATACACTTGTGTTAAATGTGTTAAGTTTATCACATTATTGCACTCTTTATAGTAGTAGCTGTTGAAAGAAAGCCATTCCTGTGTTATTTTCATGTGATAATTTCATTCTTGATTTTCATGCACACCTTGTTTACTCCTATTTCATTCCATTCAACTGACTAAGGTCACTGACTACTAAGGTCAGCTTCTTCTTTCTTGTTGTATGACCTCAAGTGACTCAGTGGTCAGTGGAGACGCTCTGCCTAGTAGTAGTACTAGTAGCTCCTTCACTGATATGGTAGACCTAGTAGTACTGATAGGGTGGATTGCATGGCATTAGTACCTCCACTGATAGGGGATCCATCAACTTGCAGGAGGCCCCTCCATCATTCTTTAACAGCAGGGGCACCAAGCACATCTATTGATATGGCAGACAACACCATTTGTTGTCTCCAATGATAGGAGATCAATTGACTTGACAGTGCCACCAGTATTCTTTCACAGCAGCAGGGTGGGAATTGATCCATCTCTTGTATCCTCTGGTGTTGCTTCCTCCATGAATAGGGGGGGTTACCTCAATTCCCTCCACTGGTAGCGCTTCTTGCATCTCCTCCTCTGACAACCAACCATGATAATGGATCTTCTCTCTCTGTTTCTCTTCTTTCTTTCATTCCATTGAAGCTTGCTCATTTCTAAAGCATACACCCAGATGGTTTGAGAAACAGATGCAAGAGATCTTCTCTCCTCCAAGGCATATGTGTAAGAACTTGACTGCCAACAATCAAGGACAAGCCATTCCACACCATACTGCTACTACCATACCAAAAGAAGGAGAATGGAGAACTTCTTGCTAAGGCGGCCTTGAATACCTCAAACATTCAAAGTTTATTCTAGAACTTGTACAGCCATTTGGAAATAATACAAAAAAACTCATGATAGCAGAAGTAGTACTGTACTACTTGATGAAGAGCTTGAATTAGTTGGTAAGACACCTCCAAAGCAGCACATCAACAACGCAACTGCAAGGCCTAGATTTGATCCTAGACAGGATGCTTGGTTTGATAGAAAGCTTGGCATCTGACCCACTTATTGTGAAATACAGACCTGCTGCCCAGAGATCATATGCAAATCATCCTAGTAGGAGAGGTACAACAACAGAGGCCCACTTTATCAATATGAATGAAGAAGTGTACAGGAACATAATAGTCTTAATTGACAAAATTCTACTAGCTGTTTACAAGAAGTTTCAATAGGCAATGGTAATATTCCCAGTTGCATCATTAATGAAGACAATGCAAAGCCACACACACGCTTACTACTAACAACAGAAAGAGAAGTTGTGGACAAACACCACCAGCTGCAGCTTGTGATAGCACTTGAAATAATTATTATGAAGACATAACAACCACCGAACAGTCCAGACTTCAATGTTCTTGATTTTTGGATTCTTCAATAGTACAAACCAGCAGAGCATACAACACAAGAAGAAGTGCTGGTTGTTGAAATCAGGTCCTTTCTCGGGTTTGGGTAGGAAAGCGTGATGCGGATACGTCGGTATTTTTATTTTGTTTTTAGTAGTCGTGGGTGAGGTATCGCATACAGTGTCAGAGGAGGGAAGAAAGTGCATATGCATAATGTGTAGGGAATT